GAGAAAAAGGGAGATTCGCAAATAAAAATTTTTCTTGAGTCAAGGAGATGATAGATCACAACACTTGAGTCAAGTATTGCTTCTACTCGATTCAAGTAGGAGGACGCTGATGCAACTTATCCGATTTTCCGACAATTTTGTGGATAAAAAAAAGATTGTTTCATGGAAATTGGTGATAAGTCGGAATCTACTTGAGTCAAGTACAACAAATACGTTATTCAAATATAAAAGGCACTTGATTCGAGCTTCGTCCTGTTTGATACAATGAGGGTCAGACTAAGGGTCACGCAAAAATAACTCAAGAGCAATTTCCCACTTGTATCTCTTTCAAATCGAACTCAACATCGCTCACTGGAGTATTACCACTAAACTCACCATTAAATTCAATCCCTTTTCCACAGATATCGAATTTATATCTATCCACCTCCAACTAATCCATAAGCTTTCCCACCGAAAAAAAAGTATTTCCTTCCAACCAACGATTCCAGATCAGAATAATAAACTCCGTCTAATATTCTCAAGTGCTGTAAAGTGTACTACACCGAAATGAGAGTAAATTTCTCCCCCAGGAGAGCCTCATAAAAAATTCCGCCATCTTCATTCCCTTTCACCCACCCCGACTCCAGCCCCTCAATTCCCTTGATTTCACCAATAATTCCCACCTCCCAAAACTCTCCAAAATGCAGACTTATCACCTCCCATTCCGCGTAATCACCCAACACGTTTTTTCTCTCTCCTGAGAAAAAAACCAATGGGCGAGAAAAACAAAAAAAAAATAAGTTGGGGTGAAAAAACCCGAACTTTTCGAATAAACTACGTTTCCAAAAAGTTTAACCGAATACGATCTGAGAAAGAAGGAGAGGAGTCTTATCGTTGGATACACACACCCTTTTTTTTTCTTACCAAGGCATATGTATCTATATCGCTCCTCGTTTCCAAACTTCCGGATCATTAATTTACATTAGGACATTTTTCAAGAGCCACCGGATCACTTCTTCCGTGGGGGCTCTTGCTTACCATCCGTAACTACCATTCCCCGACCCCTTCACCCCCTCCTCCGCCTAGCCGCCCTCCTGAAGAAGGCAGCATGGTAGTCCAACTTCTACCTTATTTTTTTACAACTTTTTCTTCCCTTTTTACGCGTTTTTTTTATACTTCCCCTGGTTCCGTCCTGCTGCAACTCTTCCCAGGGGGTGAGATGAAGTGGCTCCTCCGAAGGGGGAGGAAGTAAGGAGTGGAGGACACGGTATGGGGGGGGGGGGTGAAGGAGGGTAGACGGTGCGGTAGCAGCGGAAAAGGAATTGGATTTCCCTGGGCGATCCGAAAACGTTCCCTCGATTTACTTGCTTTTAGCACATCCTCCTCTAAATTTCATGAGAACAAATAAAAAAGAGAGAGAGAGAATGATATGAAGATGTCTATATACCTGAACAACCATTTTACGTACAACTTGGCATAGCAGGAGTAAGTGGTTCACTCGATTTTACCTCTTACGTGGAGAAAAATTACCAAACGAGTCGTGCATTCGTGGAGCAACCGCGATTTCCAGTACTTTTTCACCTTAAATTGAACAAAAGTGGGAGGTTAATAGTGGATTTAATCCGTTGGGCCCGAACAATTTAGTAAACGTGACGGATTTGTACCGAAACTATCAAATTTATCCTGTTAGAAAAAAAATGAAATTTCGTGGACAGTTGACTAGTAATTTTTAGGACAGCGACACTGAATGCAATTTAAGGGGGAAAAATCATGAAATTTCAGATTTTACTGAAAGTTCAATAAAATTACATAATTTTGAGCAGCATGAAGGCGAGAATTCTTCCAGTTATTTAAATCTCTAATGAAAACATCAATATTCAGTGCCAAATTACGTTTTCTATTAATTTTCATGGAATAATTAAACTAATAATTACAGTTCTCATAGATTTTTCCTGTAATTCAGAATTTTTACTGACGAACATGGCCATATTCATAAATCATAATTACCGTTAAATTCTGAAGCCGTCAATTAGTTAACATCGCTCTTAAACTTTTAATTATTCAAGCAATCATCAATTGAAATATTCAGATTTTACCTACTTTATCAATCAATAATTTCGGTAGGAAGATTAGAAATTCTCACTTAACGGAAAACTTGCAATGGAAATTTTAACACGAAATAATAGAAATTTTCTATATCATCAAACATTCCATGCATCATCAATCGGAAATTTAATCTACTAACCCAATATTATTTTCAAATTCTGAAGAGTGTATTCAACCATTTATCAATCTAACTCGCAAATCCTTTCGTACTGAAGAAAAATAATATCGACAGCCGCCCCTGCCACCACAAAATACGCAAAAATTTCCGAAAACAGCCCAGCAAATTCCAGCCAAAAATAATCCCCAGTGTACCCCCCCCAAACTTATCTTCATTTCCCCTTACTCCCCCTCACCCCACCCTTTCTCCCCGTGCCCCCTCAGTTTCCATAAACCCCGCAACTCTTTAATCCCATTTAAAAACCTATTAAACCAATCTACATCATAACTTACAGCATCCAACAAAAAAACTAAAACGAATCAACAGCGGAGGGGCATTTTCGTAGTTACGGAACGAAATAAAAATAGAATGGCCGAAGCCCAGCTGTACACAGCCCCTGCGGTGATTTTTCATCCGCTATTTCAAACACGTCGCCAGAGCCAGAAAGACGAAACTTTGAACTGGCCTCAACCACCCCCTCCCCCCTCCCCCTCCCGTCAATGCTCCTGTTACCATCGTACTCATTCTCCCTGGGAAAAAACTAACTTCTTCAACTGGCTGGAACTAACGAATCGTGCCTGAAAAGTTGCCCCTCTCGAAATGGGCGAAGCATCGAAATACGTGAAAAGGCCTCCTGCTGTGCAGCCAACGCCCCCCCCCCCCCCC